AACAACTTTCCAGAATAATTTCGAATTCGTGAAATTATTCCAGTGCACTGACATTAACGGTCACAGCTGTGCAAGACCGTGTTTCTTGCTGTAAATGTAAAAGAATCAATAACGAACGCAGTTTAAAAAATTAATTCCTTTTGTATCTGAATGACTCTGATGTTTTGAATGTGCCTGATGTGAACAGGAAAAGGACCGTGAAAAGCAGGCGTGGGCAGCAGGGTCTTGCTCTGGGCCGTGGGACTGGCCCAGCACCGCGGCGCCCGCCCTGTCTGCCGTGCGAGAGCATCTGGGGCCCCGGAGAGAGGGGACCTCGCGGAGGACACTGTCCACGTGGTGGTCAGCTCGGTCTCGTGTTAACGGGAAAAAATTCTCAACTCAAAGGAATTTTTTTGTGGTTTCTCACTTTAAGATGCCGCGGGCGTTAGCGGCGCCGTGCAGCCTGGCTCCGCGGGCAGATGCGGTTTGGGTCGGCCGAGGCGCTGTGCCCGTGAGTCACCACGGACGGACGGGACAGTCTCGTGGGAATGCAGCTGGTGCTGTGCGTGGCCTGCACGTCGTGACAGCGTCTGGGTCCCTCGGGGGCGTGGACGCGCGGTGCCGTAGGCGCCTCTCGTTACTGTGAAGGGAGACACGACCCCGGTGACGGAATGACTGGGCGTTTTGCTGATTTTATACGAAACGACACGAAACCTGGTGTCTGGGCGGACGGTCGGCGGTGCGCGTTCCGGGTGTCGGGTGTGGCTGGCTCCGCGTTTCAGAGGCTCTTTGTTCCCGTTGGTCCTTCGCCCATGAGCGCGGCACGAGCTCGAGGGGGGAGGGCGCGCGCCGGAGCTGGTCCCGCGCTGCGTGGCACCGTCTGCCCCGCGGCCCAGACGGAAGCCCCTCACCCTCGCTGCCGCGGCCGTTTATTCCGGAATAGTCTGCTTCTGATCGATCTTTGCAACTCGCCTTTCGGAGCTGCGGTTACTCCTCCTCCGGAAAAGGTGTTCTCTCTCCCTCCCACTCGACGCCCCGTCACGCCTGCGGGTCACCCCGACTTGGCGCCAGGAGCTGTCCTGCGTCCCTGCCCCACGTCCCTGGCCCGGCCCCCACTGCAGCCCCCTCGCCCGGCACCCCGGAGGCTGCGTTCCCATCGCTTCCGGCTGGCGGGCGTTGGACTCACTGGCTGTTCGGTTCCGGCCCGTCCAGACCTTCGTCCCGCTTTGATCTCGGCGTTATCCCGCGGACTCTTGTCTACGCAAAGCCTCGAAAGCCTGGCATTCGGCCGCCCTCTTTCTCTTGGCTTGTTGGGGAGGAACCACGTGTCATTTCAAATAGCAGGTGTCTCCTGGCTCAAAGTCCGTGACGACCGTCCGTGCGGCTTTGTGCAGCGTCCTGCCCGCCTCCCTCCCCGCGGACTTGGCGCGTCTCTGCTTCGCGGTGCTGTCTTCCACGTTTTGTGATCTGTGACTCGCGTGTCTGTGTGGAGGAGGCAGAGGCCTCACCTCCGGCGGCCTCTCCCGCGGACGCCAGCTCAGGGCTCGACTCCGGATGCGGGAGTCACGTGCGGGCGCAGAGCCAGGGACCCCACGCCCACGAAGTCTTCTGCTGAGCCGCTGCCGCAGCGAGCACCGCCTGGCCCTGTGGCGGGGTGTTCCCTTCGAGAAGTGCAGGGGACCCTGGAGAGTGGACCGTGTGCTCTGTCCCACCGCCTGGGGCAGGCCCGGCCGCAGCACCTGTGCCGAGCTCCGGCGAGGGGGGCGCTGTGGCAGCTGCCGCCGGGTCGCTGTCTGCGCTGAGAAACCCTGAGATCGTGACTCGCTGCACCTGGGTGACGAGTGACGTGAAAGCTCAGCCCCGTGCGTCGTCCGTAGACGGATAGCGACACGTTTCGTGGTGCTGGGCACACGTGGCACAGACGGCTCAGTGTTCATGGAAGAAACTCTCCTTTATGCAGACTTATTTATGCCGGACGATTTCACGTATTCAGTCTTAGTCATTTATAAGGACGGCGGCTAATACGGCATTTCCCTCTGTGAGTCCTGAGCCGTGGACGGGGACTGAAGGAAAGCCATGTGCGGCGGGATCGGACCTGCAGTTCCAGACGCGTTGGAAGGAAACGAGGAGAAATGACGACGCTGTGTCCCCAGACCCCAGGAGCTCGGTAACTTTCTGGGTTCGGGCGTCTTTGGGAGGCAGGCACGGTCAGGTGTCAACGGAGGTGGGCGAAACCCGCAGGACGCAGGGCTGGAGGCACCGTGACCGAGCCCGGGGCCCACCGTGCCATCCGCAGCTCTGCGGGCGGGGCGGACAGCGGGTGCTGGTGCTCCCCCCCAGCCTCAGGTGGCTGCGGGCTGCCCTCGAGGCCAGCGCCACACCGGACCCACAGGACGAAGCAGAGGTTTTGGTTCCCCTCGTACCTGGACCTCGAGCGCATTGCTGCAGAGCCGGAGGGGAGCCGGCCGCCCGTACCACTTCCTGGGTGACCAGCTGCCGAAGGCGCCTTGAATCTGCGGCGACGGCGGAGGCTGCAGTTCCACTGGCCGTGCATCCAAGTCCTGTCATAAATGGGTTCATGGGATTGGGCTTTGCTGCGCGTGACATCTTGCTCTCGGATCAGACCTCTCATAAAGTTTGACGATTCTAGTGCAGATGTAAACATGTGGGACCAGCCGAGCCGAGCGGAACACACCGCAGACCTCAGGGAGGTAGAGACGTTTCAGTTCATTCCATAATCGCCACAGAGAAGCGAGGCAGGCGAGGGGCCGGAGGAGAAGCAGGGACGGGGACTCGGGTCCGCTTCCTGTTTGTCCTAGCGAGAAACCGGACTTGCAAACGAAGCTGCGCGGACAGAAGCCCCTGCGCCCACAAACGCCCCGCGAGCCGGGCGCGCCAGCCGCCCACGTCCGCGGACGTGGAGGGAGGTCGCGGTCACCTGTCTGCAGTGGCCTGTGCTGCTTGTCCGTCTGTGAGTGTCACAGACATGGGCCACGCGCTGCAGCAGGTGAGCGCGGAGATGCCTTCGCAGACGCACGTGCGGAGGTCGGAACCGACACCAGGGTCACGCACATCGGGCGGCAGCTCCGTGTCGTCACTGAAGAAGGCTCTGGCCTTCGGGCAGTAAAAGAGCTTCTGACGCCTCGGAGCGGGCGAATGAAGGGATGGCTCTCGGTTTCACGCACGGTCCCGTCATGTTCGCTGGACGCAAGGTGCTTCCAGTTAAAAACAAAGTGGGTCGGTCTTAACCGATGGCGCGGGCCGGAACCGGTCGGCAGAGCCCCGGCGGAGAGTTCGCCCAGGGGGTGGCTGGCGGGGGTGGGACACTGAGCATCCCCTAGTTTACCCCGACGACCTTTAAGGGGTCCTCATGCCTGGCCCAGCCCTGGGCACCGGGCTTTCGGTTCCGTCGGAAAGTGAATGCTGAG